ACAATGTTTAAAGCATTTTTTTTTGTTTCCTCTTATTTTGCTGGGTTTTTTTCTATTATTGTGTGATTTCTTCAGAAATGAACTGGTCTCCTAAATAGGCAAAGGCATTCAAGGTTCGATTCTGTGGCATAGGAGGAGGCTTAATGTGTTGTCTGAAGTTATAGAACCAATAAAGGAACGTCTAGGACCACAACTTAGGTCATTTAACTTACATTTCAGATAAAGGATTTTTCATCTTCCTTTTTGCTGTAATGATTTTGTTTTCTCAAGATTTTTGGAAATGTTTGTGTGTTTCAAAATAAGTACGTGATGAAAGGTTACAACATATCTTCTTAGGAGGATCTTGATTTTATGATACTCAAATTGTTCTGGACCTCAAAAACTCGAATTTATTAAACTCAAGTTTATTAAACAGTAATTATGATAACAGGATTGGGGGCTATGCATTTATTGCCATTTGCGCAACTCTTGTAGCTAAAGACATACATCTTGCCTACAACCTTAGGCCTGTTCCAACTTGTTATGTGACATTGGGCAAGTCACTTTCCTCCCACAAAAATTTTACTATTTACAAGGTGTTGTGATGGGCCATAAAGAGGAATTAGATATGCCTCACAGTTCTCAGTCAGGGAGGAAAAAGTGACATTTTAAAGCATAATTAAAATATATTGTGGTGGTGGACATAGTGGAAGTATGTGGGAGGAAAAGTTATACTTTTTAGAGCCACTGGTCCCTTTAGTGATAAATCAGGTTATTATATAACACTTCTCTGAACAGTCTCACAGCAAGGTTATGCTAAAGACCAAAATTTAAATGATTTATTTACACCAAAAGTACTTTATAAAACATAAGATAGCACTATGAGTTAATAGCCTTAAGTTAGGTCTATATATAAGAATCTTATTTCAAGGAGATAATTGCACATATGAGAAAAGATACATACTAAAGGATGCAGATTTCAGTACTATTTATAAGGATGCAGTTTCAGTACTATTTATGAAATATCTACCAGGTATATCTTAAACATCTATTAGTAGGATATTTACTGTATATATGTAAATACTCTGTGTGTATATGTGTATATGCATGTGTGTGTGTGTGTGTGTGTATGTGTGGCATTCATACACACAGCTAAAAGAAGAATATTCACAAGGTATTGATAGCAATTAACTTTTGGATTTTTTTGGCACGACATTTATTTTCTTCTTTGTATTAGTCTATTTGAAGTGTGTAAATCTGAAAATAATTAAATTATTGTTAATATATCTTATAACTGTTATAAACCTTTATAGAAATGCATCAAATCAGGTAACAGACTAGATTTTGTCCATAATAGTAGTAGTTTACATTACAACAGAAATCTTTTGAGTGACTACTATGGACAGGCATTATTCTAGGTATGAAAAAAATCACAGGATGGTATTTAGAGCAGCATGATCATTTGTTTATAAAACTACCAAAAAAAAAAAATCAAGTTCTAGAGCCACAAAAATTAGAAACTCTGTTAAAATTTGTTTTTTCCAATTCATAAAGACATGGCCAGAATATCTAGCTTGAGTGTCTGGATTGAAATAAACCAATATGGTTGTCCCAAAACAGTGTGATCCCACCTTTACAAAGTAGTAGTTTCGATACACTCCATGGCGTATCATAAAAAATTTTTTTGTTTGAATCAATCTTTCCTTCCTTCCTTTTTTTCTTTCTATCTTTTCACTTTTGTCTAATTGGTATTCTGTGCAGAATAACTGTGTGGTCAAACTCTCCATGAATAAACATTCTAGAAGTTTTCCCTGACAACCCTTTCTAAGGTTCAATACATATAGA